AGATTATAATAACTTAAAATACTTTATAATTAAGAGAAAACTAAATAGTTAATAGATAAGATAAATAGAAAAGCTAGCTGCCTTTAACTTTATCTTAGAATACTAGCCGGGATATAATAATCCTACTAATAGGCTATTAAGGAGGCCAGACTTTATAGTAAATATAAATAAAGATATTTTATTATTTATATTTTATAATAAGCTATAGAATATAGAATAGAGAACTTTATAAATAATAGTAATAGAATACTATACTATTTCTATAATATTATAATATAAGGCCTAAAAAAAAGAAAATAGATATTTCTTAATTAGTAAAATATTAAAGAATTCCGAAAAGGAAGTCTATTTTAGTAATAAAGTAATACCGGAAATACTATTACTTGAGCCTATTACTAATATAGCTAGTTATAAATAATATATACTATAAATTCTAGCTATATAAGTAGCTAGGTCCGAAATAGTATATAAAAAAAGTAAAGAGATATTACTTAAACTATTATTATAGTACTAAAGTATAAGGTATATAATAATAGGGTAATATATAAGTAATTAAGATAAGTAAACTATAGAATAATACTTATAAGTATAATAAATTCTAAGAATTAATTCTAATAAGAAACTAATTAATATCTCTTCTAAAGCTAGAAGTATTTCTTTATATATTTCCTAGTATTTAGCCAGATATATAAAGCCTTTTACTTAATTAGGAAATCCTATATAATTTATATAATTCCGATTATAAGCTATATCTAAAATAGGAAACTAGATCTATAATATCTAATACCTATCTATATACTATTATATATATCTATTATATTAATTCTCTCTCTAGGCCCTTATTCCTAAAAGGCCTAGGAAAACTATAAATAGCTTTATAAATATTTCTCTAAAACTTTCCTAGCTACTAGCTTTCTCTAAAAACTTCCTATAATTATTCTATTATTATACTAGGTAATAGAATTAAGAATATAGTTTACTAATTCTTTCTAGCTAATTTGCAAATTATCTCTAGTAATTTCCCCTTATAAAAATAATATAAATATAGTATATACTATTAGATATAAAGCTTATTTAATTTCCTAATTAATTTATAAATCCTAATTTAGCCTTTATTTATAAATAAATTATTATTTTATAGGCCTAAGAGCTTAGAAAAATTAATTTAATCTTCTGGTTTATTTATAAATTTCTTCTTTAGAATTTTCTAGATATTTCTGGTATAGAACTAGTTCCGAATTTATAATTACTATTTAGGGAAAGAGTATTATAAAAAGGTCTTTCTTTTCTTACTAACTAACTTTTCTTTTCCTTAACTATAATACCATATCTAGCTTCTTTTTATTTCTTATCTTCTTTCTTTAAGCTTTCTTTAAGCTTCTTTAAGCTTCTTTAAGCCTTATTTAAGCTTTATTTAAGTCTCTTTCTAATTCCCTTTTCTATTTCTTTATTTATTAAGATAAATATTTCTTTTAGTATTTATTAGCCTATTACTATTTATTTAACTAATATTCCTATATTCTTGATTTATTCTTACTATTTTTAATATTCTAAGAATATTACTAAGTTTCCTGACCTTATTTATATTAAGAATAATAATTATTTAGTATATAATTACTATTATTCTAAGAATAAGAAATATAATTCTATAAGTTATAAATTTCTTCTTTTATTTCTTATTCTAATATTATTTAAAGTTTCTTAAATATATATAGTATAATTAAACTGCCTTCTTTAAACTATTAATATATATAAGTATTTTCCTTATTCTTTATCTAAAAAAAAGAAGGCTATTATTATTTTTCTTCTATACTAAACTATATATACTTTTTATATTAAAGCTATTATTTAAGGCTAATAGATTTCCCTAATAATTTAAGAAATAGGTTAAGTAATTCTTACTAGCTTAATATAAATATAAAGTACTCTTAATAGTATAATTAATATTCTTTAGTATTAAATAAGCTTATTTCTTTCTTATTTCTTACTAATAGCTAATAGCTTTATAGGCTAATTTATTACCTATTTCTCGAGAGAATTCTAATAAGAATAATAATAAGAATAGTAGAAAATAATTATAAGAATAGGGTATTTATAAGATATAGAAATTAGAGTTTTTAATAATTTTTATATAGTTTTTCTAAGAATAAATATATGGTTTTTTAATAGTTTCCTAATAAAAGCATTTATTTTTTATATTTTTATTTAGCTAATAATATTATAATATTATTCTTTTCCAAGTATTCTTATAATTCTTAAGCTATATTCTCTAGATTACTTAGTAGTTCTTATATATTATTTACTAGTAAATAGCCTTTTTAATAAACGAGATATTTCCTTTCTTTTCTGTTTTTCTTATAGACTATAATAAATTCTATCTCAAATTCTTCTTTACCTTTAATCTTAACCGGCTCTAGTTCTATTATAGTACTAGCTTACAGGTACTATAGTTCTAAAAAGGAAATATAGAAAATATTATAGATCTAATATAATAGTAGTAATTCTAAATAATATATCTATTTATATATTCCTATAATTTCCAGAACTTTAAAGAAATTAAAATATCTATTTACTAGCTTTATACTAGGTTATAGCTATTAAATATTCTTTATATAAAGTATAACTTTATTATATATCTTGAATTTCTTATTAATATATTTCTTATTATAATACTTTTTCTATATATTTACTACTTCTTATTATTATTTCTCTAATATTTCTCGTTTTACTTGAATTCTTTATATTCTTTCCTATATTACTAGTACTTCTCTTTCTAGAATATTATCCTTAATATATAGTTTAATACTAGAATAGAATTCATATAAGATATAGAATAAGGATATTTCTATTATTAAATATATAGAGTTATTATATATGAATTCTATAAGAGTAAGCTTTATTATCTAGTTATCTTATTAATAGCTAGTATAGTACCTTAAGTATTATTCTAGAGTTTAGTTTAGATTCTCTATTTATCTATTAGTTTACGAATAGAATACTATATTTAGCTATTATTAAATCTTTAAATAAAAGTATAGACTTAACTAGAACTTACTTATAAAAATAGATCCTTTATTAGAAGTTATATTTATAGGCATACTAAAGTCTTTAATAATATAATATATAAATAGCTCTACTAGCTCAGAAGTCAAGACCTTCTTAGTAATTAGAATATATTATACTATTTTCATATATTTATTAATAATAATAAATATAGAATTATATACTTTACTATAAAACCTAAAAGAGGATAGCCCTATAATAAAGTCTATAGTAATTTCTTATTATAGCTTAGAGGAAAGAAGAAACGAACTAAGTATATTATATAGTAAATATCTCTTTATCTTAATTTATTAATATATAGGACAAGTTCTAATATAGTCTTTTATATTCTTTCTTATATTTTACTAGAAGTACTTTCTCTAGAGAATCTCTAGTATTTTACTAGTACCAAAATACTTACCTATAAAATTATTATAGTTAGCTTATAGTAATTCTTTTTTAAAAGCTAGCTTATTTAGTATATAGATAGTATTCTAATATCTTAATAACCCAGATATATTAAGTTCCCAAGTCTTAATAGCTCTAGTAAAGGTTTCCTTTAAGAACTATTTATATTACTAGTATTATACTAATAAATTAAGCCTTTAGTATTATAATAGTAGTTTAAGTAATATCTCTTTACTTTTCTTATATACTATTTCGGACCTAGCTATTTATATAGCTAGAATCTATAATATATACTATTTATAACTAGCTATACTAGTAATAGGCTCAAGTAGTAGTATTTCTAGTACTATTCTATTACTAAAATAGACTTTCTTTTTGGAATTCCTTAGTATCTTACTAATCGAGAAGTGCCTATTTCTTCTTTTCTAGGCCTTATATTACGGTATTATAGGAATAGTATAGTATCCTATTACTATTACCTATAGGGTTCTCTATTTTATATTTTATAGCTTATTATAAAATATAGGTAATAAAGTATCTTTATCTATATCTACTATAAAGTCTAGCCTCCTTAATAGCCTATTAGTGGAATTACTATACCCTGGCTAGTATTCTAAGACAAAGTTAAAGGCAGCTAGCTTCTTTACTTATCTTATTTATTAACTATTTAGTTTTTTCTTAGTTATAAAATATTTCAAGTTATTATAATCTATTTTAATAATAATAGTATACCGGATATATACTAGGTAATACTACTAAATACGGAATACTAGAATAATAATTAAGAGTTTAGAGTTATATATCTTATACCTGCTTTTAATTATAATTATTTTTTTTAAATAGAAAGTAATAGGATATTACCTGGCTTCTATTTTCTTACTAAAAAGCTAGGAAATTATACCTATAATTATAAATCCTAAAGTATTTATTTCTATATAAATCTTTAAGGCTAGATCAAAATAATAAAGAATTAGTACTATTATAAATATAATTTATAGCTCTCTAAAAGCCTTATTTGTCTTATTTGTCTAGCTAAACTAATATAATGGTTTTCTACTAGTTTTTAGTAAATTAGTTAACTTTTTTATTACTCTAAAGTATCTATAAATAAACCTCTAGTAAAAGTTAGTAAAACCCAGAAATACTTAGACTTCTCAAATATTATTCTTTAGGACTAGCTATTTCCTAATAGCTATAATCTGGCTAGCCTCTATTTCTATACTATCTAGGCTAATTATAAATTCCAGAAACTTTATTTTCTTTATATTAAACTTATATTTTACTAAGTTTATAAAGAGCTAGTATTATTATAACCGCTCGAATATATATTAGACTACTATTATATACTATTCTGGGTTCTCTAAATAAATTAAAATATTATCTAAATAAATTATATAAATAATATTTATAAGGCTTACTAATATATAATTAATATATATCTGAAATATTACCGGAGTATTAAATAATTTAAAGAATATAATATAGTACTTAAAATATCTATAGTATATTCGGAATATTGTCTTTTACTTATTATCCTCCCGTATTTATAACTAATAGTAAGTATTTTTTAAGTCTAGCTTTATATATATCTTTACTTTATAAAGCCTATTTATTATCTTACTAATAAGTAGTAATAATATTCGGTTCTTAATAGTAATTCTATTCAGATCCCAATAATTAATATATAGATATAGGCCGCCTCTTTTCTTTAGAACAAATATAATTAGGATACTAGCTAGGCTAGTAAAATAACGGATTTACCTCTTCTCTAAGCTAGTATTAAGATATTCCCGAAAGATTTCAAGTTCCCTTTCTAATAAAGTATATATAGGACTATATAATAATTAGGATTCTGGTTCTAGATCTATATAATACTCTATTATATAGTAATCGAGTAATATACCTATAGCCTTTATAAAAAATACTCGGAAAAGGTCCTAATATTTCCTAGAAAGTATAGCTATTCTATTTATAGTAATAGTAGTAACTCTTTAGCTATTTATTATAGGATAAGTAATTAATAGAAAAACATATATCTTATATTTTATTACTTTAGTAAACTTCCTAGTATTTAGAACTTTAATTTTCTATAGTCAAATCTAGTATCTTTATATTACTTTCCTAAAAGAAATTAGGGAATTAACCTAGTAAAGCTATAGGAATTCAAGTATTATATTAATATAGTTTAGATTAAAATCATATAATATAAAGTATATATTAGTCTTCTTTTAATTCTCTAGTATATCCTCGGTAATAATCCCAAGAATATAATCTCTATATAAATAAATCCTTCTTTTCTCTAGTAAGAATAAGGGAATTACCTTTAATATTAATAGAATACTTATATCTAAGGCTAATTTCTTCTTTATATAATTAGCCTTTATACCTAAATTAACTAATATTCTAATTCTTTATTTACTTTTCCTTATCTTAATAGTAACCTTAATTACTATTCTTGTTTTAGGGGCCTTGCCTTCTATAGTATAAACGAGTATAACTACTATAGGATATACTTATTTCCCGGCTTCTTTAGTTCTAGGTACTTATATATCTTATAGCTAGACTTATTATAATTATAGTAAGTTGGTTTTCCCTGATTTGAGCAGATAGTAATATAGTAATTCTCTTTCTAGTAAGTAAAGCAAGTTATATCCGGTCTTATAGATCCTAATATGGGTACTATATTAGATCCCGTTATTATACTTTTACTATTCCGGTTATATGAATCTTATAACGGGGATATATTTCTCTTCTATTTCCTTTTATTATTTTCTTTTTCCTTTCTCTAATTTTCTTTCTTTTATTAATCTATTAGCTTATTATTATATTTCCGTTAAGTAAACTAGTTCAAGTTATTCTTAATTTTTATAGCTATAAAAATAAGCTTTTCTCTTTCTTATAAAGTATTCTTTTAGTAATTAATCTTATTCCGAATCTCCTGCCTCAAACTATTAAATAAGTTATTCCGCTTTTATAATAAACCTATATATCCCAAGTTATCTAATAGGCTATCTAAGTAAAATATAAAGCTTTAGATACTCTAACCTGGCTACTATTTTGTATTCTTAAACTTAGTAAAGGTATTATTATTATAGTTTTCCGGATCCAAGATAGAATTCTTTATAAACTTAATAAAGGTCTCCTAATTTATAGTATTAATACTTACTAATTACTTCCTATATTTCTAGATATTTCTGGCTATATTCTTAAAGCAGGAAATATAATATATAATTTTTACTATATCTATAGCCCAGGTAATCCCGCTATCTTTATACTATTTTAGCTCCGCCTAGTAAAAGAAGTCCTGGGCTTCCTTAATACTCTTCCTCTTATAAGTTAGTAATTCTCGGGTTTTTAAAGCCCTATAAACCAAATATATTACTAGTAGTATAATAGGTTCTATAATAGATATCCGAATATCCTTAAAATAGCAAATCTAAGCTTCTAAATTCTCTAGATCCTTCCTCTATTATATCTCTGCTTCTAACTTAGTAATATAATAATAAGCTACTATTAGCTTCTTTATTATTATTATCCTATTAGCTAGTTCTAGGGATATCTAAGTTCTATTTCCTTTTTCTAATTAGGTAATAGCTAGAGTAGCTAACTAGATACTTCCCTCAATACCTAATTAGGTTGCCCTAGTAATAGTAGAAGCGCTTTTTCTAGTTAATACTCTAGCTATTAGTAGTTTTATCTATTAATGGCTTAATTACCTTATAATAAACTGCTCTCTAAAAGTTAGATTAATTAGAATATAAGGTATATAATAGTAGGGTAATATATAAATAGTTAAGATAAGTAAGCTATAGAGTAATACTTATAAGTATAACGGATTCCAAGAATTAATTCTAATAAGAAACTAATTAATACCCTTTCCAAAGCTAGGAGCATTTCCCTATATATTCCCTAGTACTTAGCTAGGTATATAAAGCCCTTTATTTAATTAGGAAATCCCATACGATTTATATAATTCCAATTATAAGCTATATTCAAAATAAGAAACTAGATCTATAATATCTAATACCTGTTTATATACTATTATATATACCTATTTTAGTAATAAAGTAATACCGGAAATACTATTACTTGAGCCTATTACTAATATAGCTAATTATAAATAGTATATACTATGAATTCTAGTTATATGAGTAACTAGATCCGAAATAGTATATAAGAAAAGTAAAGAGATATTACTTAAACTATTATTATAATACTAAAGGCTCGATTTATTAGTATAATATTAGTAATATAAATAGTTCTTAAAAGAAATCTTTACTAGAGCTATTAAGACTTGAGAACTTAATATATCTAGGTTATTAAGATATTAGGGTATTATTTATATATTAAATAAGCCGGCTCTTAAAGAAGAATTATTATAAGCTAACTATAATAATTTTATAAATAGGTATTTTAGTATTAGTAAGATACTAGAGATTCTTTAGAGAAAGTATTTCTAGTAAAGTATAAGAAAGAATATAAAAGACTATATTAGAACTTATCCTATATATTAATAGACTAAAGTAAAGAAATATCTATTATATAATATATTTAGTTCATTTCCCTTCTTTTCTAAGCTATAGTAAGAAATTATTATAGACTTTATTACGGGACTACTTTTTTTTAGGTTTTATAATAAAGTATATAATTCTATATTTATTATTATTAATAAATATACGAAAATAATATAATATATTCCGATTACTAAGGAAGTCTTGGCTCCTAAGCTAGTAGAGCTATTTATATACTATATTATTAAAGACTTTGGTATACCTGTAAATATAACCTTTAATAAAGAATCTATTTTTATAAGTAAGTTCTAGTTAAGTTTATATTTTTACTTAAAGATTTAATAATAGCTAAGTATAGTATTTTATTTATAAACTAATAGATAAATAGAGAATCTAAACTAAACTCTAGAATAATACTTAAGGTATTATACTAGCTACTAGTAAGATAACTAGATAGTAAAGCTTATTTTTATAGAATTTATATATAATAATTTTATATATTTAATAATAAGAATATTTCTATTTTATATCTTATATGAATTCTATTCTAGTATTAAATTATATATTAAGAATAATATTTTAGAAAAAGAAGTACTAGTAATATAGAAAAGAATATAAAGAATTTAAGTAAAATAGAAGATACTAGAGAAATAATAATAAGAAATAGTAAATATATAGAAAAAGTACTATAATAAGAAATATATTAATAAGAAATTTAAGATATATAATAAAATTATACTTTATATAAAGAATATTTAATAGCTATAACTTAGTATAAAGCTAGTAGATAAATACCTTGGCTTTTTTAAAGTTCTAGAAGTTATAGAAATATATAAATAGGTATATTACTTAGAATTATTACTATTATATTAGATCTATAATATTTTCTATATTTCTCTTTTAGAATTATAGTACCTATAAGCTAGTACTATAGTAGAACTAGAGCTAGTCGAGATTAAAAATAAAGAGGAATTTAAAGTAGAATCTATTATAACTTATAAAGAGAACAGAAAAGAAAAAGAGTATCTTATTTATTAGAAGGGCTATTTACTAGTAAATAATATATAGGAATTACTAAATAATCTAGAGAATATAGTTTAAGAATTATAAGAATACTTGAAAAAAAGTAATATTATAATACTATTAGCTAAACGGAAATATAAAAAATAAATACTCTTATTAGGAAATTATTAAAAAACCATATATTTATTCTTAGAAAAACTATATAAAAATTATTAAAAACTCTAATTTTTATATTCTATAAATATTCTATTCTTATAACTACTTTCTATTATTTTTATTATTATTCTTATTAGAATTCTTTCGAGAAATAAGTAATAAATTAGCCTATAAAGCTATTAGCTATTAGTAAGAAATAAAAAAGAAATAAGCTTATTTAATATTAAAGAATATTAATTATATTATTAAGAGTATTTTATACTTATACTAAGCTAGTAAGAATTATTTAACTTATTCCTTGAATTATTAGGAGAATTCATTAGCCTTAAATAATAGCTTTAATATAAGAAATATATATAGTTTAGTATAAAAAAAGAGTAGTAATAGCTTTTTTTTTTTAAGTAAAGAATAGAAAAGATACTTATATATATTAATAGCTTAAAAAAGGCAGTTTAATTATATTATATATATTTAGGGAACCTTAAATAGTATTAGAATAAGAAATAAAAGAAGAAATTTATAATTTATAGAATTATATTTCTTATTCTTAAAATAATAGTAATTATATATTAAGTAATTATTACTCTTAATATAAGTAAAATCAGGAAACTTAGTAATATTCTTGAAATATTAAAGATAATAAGAATAAATTAAAGATATAGGAATATTAGCTAAACGGGTAATAATAGGCTAATAAGTACTAAAAGAAGTATTTATTTTAATAAATAAAGAAATAGAAGAGGAAATTAGAAAGGAACTTAAATAAAGCTTAAATAAGGCTTAAAGAAGCTTAAAGAAGCTTAAAAAAGGCTTAAAAAAGGAAGATAAGAGATAAGAAAAAGCTAGATATAATATTATAGTTAAGAAAAAGGAAGATTAATTAGTAGAAAAAGAAAGGCCTTTTTATAATACTTTTTCTCTAAATAGTAATTATAAATTCGGAACTAGCTTTATACTAGAAATACCTAGAAAATTCTAAAGAAGGAATTTATAAATAAACTAGAAGATTAGATTAATTTTTCTAAGCTCTTAGGCCTATAAAGTAATAATTTATTTATAAATAGAGGCTAAGTTAGGATTTATAAACTAATTAGGAGATTAGATAAATTTTATATCTAATAGTATATATTATATTTATA